ATATATATATATATATATATATATATATACAGTGTATGTATATATGTGTGTGTGTGTGTTCGTTCGTTTGTTGACTCATTGGTATAATTATAGAAAGTTAACATAATACAACTTAATTCCTGCCTGATTTGAAACTCATAATAAACCTATGTGGATTGAATGATAACAGATCCATTGATGACCCAGATTATTGAACCTGCCTCTCTTACATCCACCTTCCAAATTAGCAACCTCACACTGAAAGCATGGGTCATCTCAAGTGTGATATAAAGCTATTTATTCTGTGAAAACAGTTTGGAGTTGAAAGTCTAGGAAAGGACAAAGATATACTAGGGAAGCTAGATGCCAGAAAGAGCTGTGATTGGGGAAGCTTTTTTTTCAGTCCAGCAGAACAGAATATTTCTCACTGTCCTCTCCACTCAAGGAGCAGTCGAATCCCTCTTTTGCATTGTTGTTGAGGATGCATGATGTGCTTGCTTAGGTCAAATGTTAAGAGCAGCTGTTCCTCCTTCTCTCCCACTGGAACAATTCTCCTTCAGAATGTATTCATGTCATCAAGAAAAGGTGCGCCCTGTTTTCCTGATCCGGCATGGGAGTAGAACTCTGTATGAGATTGCAGCAAAGCCTGTATAGATAGACAGAGGCGTAGGCTGCTCAAAATGATTGTATGCCGCCCAGAGTCATGCTTCTGTGAGATGGGCAGCATATGAATATGATAAATAAATAAATAAAATTAATTAATTAAAAGATGAACCATTCTGAACAACAGCTGACTTGATTGTAGGCTACCATCTACAAATGCTCATGACACCAAAAGCTATCTGGTCCATTAAGGAATCACAGGTCACTTTTCCATTATTACTTTTGAATTGCAATCAACAGCCCAAGCTTCTCTCCTAGAATATGACCATATTTGTTTAGCCAATCATTTAGATTGGGATCATTTTTATTTTATTTTTTAAAATCATACTTATACAGCTTTAAACCCTGCAAGAGTTAACTCTGAACAAAATAAATAGTTCTTAATTGGTTTGCTCCTATTATGAGGTCCTATGGTTATTACCTAAATTAATTTTGGATTTTTTTTGTAATGCTAACTCTGTAAAGGTAGAGGATTTGCAAGAAAATGCGCACTATGAATTCAGAATTGCTGCTGCGAATATTACTGGCATAGGGAAGTCATCTGACCCCAGCAAGCTTTTCAAATGTGAGGCTTGGAACATGCCAGAACCAGGTAAGCAATTTGGGTATGAAAAGAATTAACATCTTTAAAATCAATTATTGCTCAAAATCTATCATTTTTGTATGTCAGTAATAATCTAACATGTTTGCTTTTTAACCACACTTTCTAGGTCTCCCATAGGTAAGAGTGTGCAGAGGTTGTCAGGATCCTGAAACATAGAAGCCATGGGAAGATACATCTGGTTTAGCTTCTATACAACCAAGGAAGTTGGTTCTGAGGAACAGCCTTTATGTTCCAAGCAGGGGTGTCTCTGGGGTGGGGGGTGGGGAATTAAAAAGTTAAGATGGCAGCTGCGACTGCATAATTGAAGCCCTGCCTCTTTTTTACATGCATCACACACATTAAAAAGGGGCAAAGTGTCAATCATATCATCACAGCTGTCATCTTGATCTCTTTAACCTTTCCCACACATATGCCCCTGGTTCCAAGTTTCCTTTGGATTGATTCAGATCCTTCCTTCCTTCCTTCCTTCCTTCCTTCCTTCCTTCCTTCCTTCCTTCCTTC